ATATTGTCTCCCAGAAACCCTTCACCTTCTTATATTCCCACCATAGACCGAGGTAAAGTTCTCAAACCGGGACACTATTTCCAGTTTTGCAGAGTTTGTAAACTGAATCGGTCTTAAACCGGACTGTTCTTAAACTGAGGTACCACTGTACTCTGGATTTATTTATTTTTTTAAAATTTCTGTTGCTTTCTGATTCTTGTGCTTTTCATTAAAAAAACACCCTGTTTTTCTAAAGAGTATCTCTCTGATAACAGAACAGTAACATCTTGCTCATATCTCTCAACTTCATAGAGACATACTTCACTGCAGAGCTCTTGCATTCAAGTAAGTTGGCATAAACTAAATCTATCACATGAGGTGAATTCCCAGGTGATAGAATTGAGGTCTGTAGAACTTTTGGGACTTGTGTGTGAAAGAGACTATTCCTTAGCAATATGCTAATGGCACAAACTTAAGAACTCTTACAGAGAATTCTAATAGAAAAAGTTACCTCCTGCTGTGTCTGACACAGAAGGCAATGATCTATCTTCGTGTCATAGTCACGGTTTTAATGAAGCTTATGAGCGCAGGCTGTAGATCACAAATCATTGTATTAACTGCACTAATTAATCAGGCTGGCATTTTTCAAATCTTATGCAGAATAATAACTGTGCAAATAGTCTGAGCCTGAAGTGTGTGAGTCTTAATTAAAACTCTGCCTAAACAAAATAAAATTGTGTGACTGCCAAAATTCTTAAAGTAGAATTTGAGGCAGCAACCACAGGTGAGCCCCACCAGCCAGCATGCAACCAGTGTTTTGGTTTTTAAAAAAAGAACTAATGCTCCCTGCCCCCGCCCCCCATGCCATTTCTCCTTTCTCTTTTCTTTTGCTGCTTTTTGTGACAAACCACTTCCTGGAACATCCTACCTTTAAATATAAACCCAAAACCTTCAGTTAGCAAGAATGTTGACTGGGGCAGCCATCAGATCATGCCATATTGATTGTGAAAGATTTCCGTTGGCCACCTGTTCAATTCTGTGCTGCATTTCAGATGACACTGTTGTGCTATAAAGCCATAAATGACTTGGGGGTCCTGTTATTTGAAGGAATGCCTCTCTGTATATCAATCTGCTCAGGTTCCTAGTTTTGGGAGATCGGGGGCTTTTCATTGTTCTACACCAGAGGAAATTCATTAGGTGCTGACACAACATGGGGTCCTCTCAGTGGCAGTGTCCCAATTATAGAATGCCATTCCTATGAAAGTGTAACTGGCGTTGACCTCGTTGACATTTTGGGACCAGGTTCAAGCATGCCTGTTCGCCTAGGTATTTATGGGATGTTGGCCCACTGCTACAATAGATGTGGCAGAATTTTTTATTGTGCATTTGATTTAGATCAGGGGTGGGGGATCTCTTTCAGCCCAAGGATTGCATTCCCTCCTGGGCACCCTGCTGGAGCCTACATACCAGTGCTGGGAAGGATCAGAGACATAAATGGAGAAAAGCAATATATGTCAATCCTACAGTAGTCTAGCTCCAACACACACTTATCCTTCCTTCTATCCTCTGTCTAGGCAGGCAAGCAGCATTATCAGCATTCAAGGACAAATTGCAGCCTGGCAAAAACATTTAGGGACGTTGTGAAGGGCCACAACTGGTCTAGGCCTAAGGTTCCCCACCCCTGATTATGGCTTTCTCTTACTTAGTTTGGATTGTTTGGATTGTTTTAAATTTTGTTGTAACTCTCTGGGATCAATTGATGAAGTGCTGATTAAAAATGTAGTTAATCAAGATGTGTGCATGAATAGCAACAAAATGAAGGATAGAACCCTCTGACAACAACCTTCGTTCAGAAATCTATAGGGCAGAGAGGACAACAATTATCAATACAACTTAGTTTCACAACCCCCTAGATGGAGTACAGCTGTTCATCTGGCGATGCTGTTATTTCTTTACTTCTCAGGTAATTGAGCCAGCCTTAAACAAGGAAAAGAAACATAAATGATTTTACACTGCACCTAAAATATTTTCAACCACTGATGAAAAGAAATTTTGCCCCAACCTAGCTTTCTCATCATTCATCACCAGCAAGTTCATGCTTGCTATAGCAGGTAATTGACCTGACCTGGTAACTTGAATGCATTTGAGCTCATTTAGATGCTCATAAACCCATAGGAAAAACTGATATTTAGTCAGCCTGATTGAGACAGGTCTCTGGTTTGAGCGGGCTCCATGTCAAAGCCATACATTTGTTGTTGCCAAAATTCAAATAAAACCAAACCTGAGCCCAATGACAGCTTTTCCCCTTATGGAAATAGCAGCTCAGGGGGTAGAGGGACTTTCATCAAGGTGAGCACAATGCTGTGATCCTAATTCTTTTTTGGTTCTGCCCCAATTCTTATCAGCCCCTCCCTGCAGCTTTTGTTTAAAGTTTTAAAAGAATCATGCAGCACCATGCCCTTATAACAAAACATGTAGTTTGGTCCTGATAGAGGAGGATGGGCAGCAGTTGTCCAATGAGCAACTATGACAGTGAACCACATTGTCACTGTGCTAATAAGTGCTAGTGCCTGTGCAGAGTGGGGAGCCCTTGGCACTCCAGATGTTGCTGACCTCTCAGCTCGCCCCAACCATTAGCTCCAACCAGCATGGCCAATCATCATGGATGATGGAATCTGTAGTTTTAACCTCTGGAGGGCCACAGCTTTTCCACCCCCAGTGGAAAGCAAACCTTTTCAGCACACTGGCACAGGGTTGGGTACCTTCCAAAAATTTACTGGTGTTTGAGCTCAGTTTCTGCTAGGCATTTTAAAAATTAGTTTTGTTATTATTATTTACTTAAACACAACTTGGCATTCTGATAATCATCCTATACTGACATTTAAGTTGTTTTGTTCCCTGTGCAGCATTTGGTTGAAATTATCATGTAGTCCTTAACTTTTCTGTATTCTTTTATCAATGTATAATCATTTCATTTTCAGACTTCTGGGCTACATTTTTTAAAAGGTTCCTATGATAGCTATTGCTTACATTATACATTTCTCTTAATAAGAACCAAAAAGCTGGCTCTGAAACTTATGGAGAATCCAGTATTTGGGGGCCAATTTCATTTGTCTGTATACCATATGGTGTTCAATCTTATATAACTTGTTTATAGGCCTGTTCTTCTGCAGAGATCTAGGTTTACAAATAGAAACTTCACCACCAGAATGGCAAACAAAACATCAAATATTTCTCAAATGATTGTTCCCAACTGTCTTATTTTACCTTATTACTTATTTTTTTCTTTAGTTCACTCGAAACACTGCTTATTGAATATTCTTTCCAAGGGCATCATTGTACTGAATTTCAGGATAGGCTTGGATTTTTTGCTTTGCAATTTAATACTCCCTCTATACTATACTCAATTGAATTACAATGTGCTAGATTTTAAAAGCAATTTAAGAAGCTTTACTTTCTCTAGCATTCTACAAAAGGTTCTGTATTGCGTTTTCGTCAACTCTAACATCCTGCTGTTTTTGAGTGGCAGGTGAAGGGCATTTAAATTAATGATTTCCCTCTCCTGAGGCTCTGTGTTGCAAGTAAGATTATTCTTCAGAAAGCTTTGGGCTTGAGCCTGTTCCACTTGAAGCCACTGGTGAGAATCTGGCTCTTAATAGGGTTGTTTCCTATGTAGTTTGAATCGATGACTGCAAAGTGGTCCTATAAAAAAACAAACCTTGATGTATGTTGCTTGCAGAGCCAGGTTTGTGCTTTTAATAGGAACTGCCACTGAGCTAACTTTTGGCCTATAGGAATATTGTTGAAGGTACGGCATTGCATTGGCTTCCCATATTATTGCATTTATACTGCCTCCTGCTTCCAGAGAGCTGTTCGTCTTGACAATAGCAGTGTAAGAGGTTCAGAACTTTTTTATTTAATTTTTATTTTTATTCTTTTGGTTCTCCTCTCAAGTCAGAGGTGTTTCCTTCTAAATTTTACCCTGTTGTAAACAAAATCTGCCCTTTTCCCCTTATGGGGTATCCAAGAGCCCATATAGAGTCCTACGTGGGTTCCCTATTGGTAGGAGAAAATAACAGAGGCCAACCAGAGAATATTGAGTAGCAAAGCAGCTAGTAAGCCTGATCTTTATTAAAACTGTTGCAACAAGGTGCTCCCCTCACATGCAGGAGGACAGAGGAGGACCCCTAACAAAGGTGTGCCTGCCCTTATATAGACATTTCAAATTCTCTGCCCTGGAGCTCAAGACCACCCCTCCATAACTCATACATACATCACAGAAGGGGTGTAACCCAAGGCCAACCCCCACAAACATCATACCTACATCACAGAAAAGACGGTCTACAACAGAAATTTGAGTGTTGTTGTTTTTCCTGTCTGGCAGGTTTTCTGATAATGCCTTATCTGATTGCCTGGTGATTACCCACTTCCTGAGACAATGGGAAAGTTCCCTCACCCCCTCCCTCCTTGCAGAGAAAACATTTGGTCAGTTTGGGAGTCAAAATGGTTTCAGGAAGGTCTTCCTCTGCTGCTCCATGCACTGGTACATTTATGAACATTTATGAACATTTATGATATATATATGACTTTAAAATTCTTATAACAATCCAAGCACATGTGAACAAGTGTTCTGCTAGGAAACAGTAGTACAGTTGTGCTGATTTGTTTCCCAAGGCTGCTATTTGGTTTAGTTTCTCACAATCTTGGATGCCTTTACTTCTGGCAGTAAGAGAAAGTTTGAGAAAACATGACTACCGTTTGTGCAATCCTGAGATGAGCCTTTTTAAAGGCATCAGATGTTAAGAATCTTCACAACTCCCAGTTTAAATCCAAAGCTGAATTACTGAGGAAGTGGGGAAAATAGTCCCAGAAGAAAACACAAACAGCTTGTTGGTTCCTTTCACTTGGAGAAATAAAAGGGAAGGGGGAAACCTGCAAAGGTATACCGTATATAGTATGCTGTGATATTCATAGGAAGAGTGCACTAGAAAAATGAATTTTTCTTATTGTGTCTTTTCCAGATTGGCATTTCCAGAAAAACAGAAGAAGAAAAAGATAATGAACTGAAAGCATCTGAAAAGTATATTGTGCAATCCTCTGAAGCGAGTAGAAATGTAGTCCTCCGATAGGGCCATGAACCTAAAACTAGTCTATGTATCTGTACTGATGTTTGGAATAATGGGTTTATTCCTCTTCATGTACCTGCAAGATTGGATTGAAGAACAACATACAGGTAAAATAACTAATAAGCTAGCTAAATCCATATCAGCTGTTCAGTGGAAAAATAAACAATGGCACGGGCTTGTGATATGCACACACACCGTTTGAGAAGTGGCTAGTGTAATCACACAGATGTGGGTTGAACCATTCGCAAGATAAAGCTGAGGGGGGAGGGGGGAGAAATCTCCATGTATGACTGTCTCTGAAAGTTAACAGCTAATACATCAAAGAATTCCAAAGCAGCCATGTTTACTCATCTGAAATGAATGGCTCCTGATTAAGTAGAATTTAAGGGATTACATGGTATTTAACTTTGTGGTCAGAGTAGACCACCCACTGTGCATAATGCTTCTCTTTTCCATAATTAATTTGAAGTAAAAAGAAGAAGAAAAATTATGGAGGAAGTTGGAAAATGTAGTAGGGTAAGAGGCTACATAGCTTATTTGAGAGAAATCCCAGCAAAAGTTAGGCAAGTGTATGATTTGCTTTTATTAGTTCAAAATGTTTAATACTGTAGGAATGTTTAGACCACTACTTGATTACTTTATAAGTGGCAAAAAATATATACATGTAAGTACGGTACAGAGTTTGGAAGTCATATTGTATACTTTTAGGAAATAAGAAGCAGCATTTTATTCTATCTTACAAACATTTATAAGCCATTATTTAGTCCAAAGATGTCAAGAGTCAATTAACACTCAAAAGCATAAATAGCAAAATTAATAATTTAAAAGCAGCAGCAGCCAGGCACATCCAGCATGAATATATGATCTACAAATTTAAATCCTCCTCATCATGGTATATTTATTTATATACCATCTTTTTCCCTGACAGGGACTCAAGGTGGTTTACAAATAAAATTAAGAACAACTAAAAACATTTTTATCATTAAAAAACAATTAAACATTAATATAATTTAAAGCTACAATATACCGGGGGTGTGTGTGTGTGTGTGTGTGTGTGTGTGTGTTAGACATAATTGCAACACAGTTCATTAAAAACAGTCAGTTCCCAAAAGTCTGTTGGAATAAGGAAGTCCTCACTTCTTCATTAAATAATTTGTTAGATTCTTTTTAATAGGATTTGTAAGTTGCACCTGGCCTGCAAAGAAGCCCACTAATAGAGAAACACTTTCTGCAGTGGCTTCTAAATGAATGGAATTGTATATCCACAAGGGGGCTGGCCCATGCCCTAACCACCACCCCCATGAAGTGCCACACCAAAGGTACAACCCCCTTTGGGGCAGCATTTTGGTGGCAGCCTCTTCCCGCCCCCAATAGGCAGGCGTGTGTGCAGGAGAAGGAGTAGGGAGTGCGCAAGCCGAACACCTTCACATCTCACTAAACCATAATTTGGCTATGTTTGGAAGGCAGGCTTGCATGTTGCTCTCTTTCCATCTTCATTGTATATATGTACTAATATCCTAATTTGTACCATGAGCAACCAGTCAGTATTTCTAGCCAATATTCTACTAGGTTTAATGACTCAATAGGCTATTGTGGTGTTATGAATAATAATAAAAAGTAATTTCAATATAGAGAGGCAATTCAAGAAACTATATTTTGAAAAGGAGGAGACTGACTGTGCACATGTAAGGCCCACGACTGTGAAAGAAGCCTGGAAATGATGTTGAGAATCACAGTCCTTTTTCCCCTCAACCAGCCAAAACTCCATATTTGCCTCTCCACTGGAATAGCAATTATTTCAGACACCGCAAAATGAAGATAAATGTAAGAGCACAGATGAGGACTTTAGACAACTTCTTTCTGTAAGGTGCACTGTACTACTTAGTAAGGAGGAGATTATCATGGAATGGTTCGAGGTTGTATTTACAGTTCTGAAGTCTCCCAATAGGAGATATGCAGCCAATTCAGTGTCATGGAGGACATGCAAACAAGTTTTTTTCTGTGTTGTGATGATTTCCCCCAATAAGCTACTGCGTTTTTTGTGCCTGCTGTAAGTTATGTTTTACTGCTGATTAAAATGGCATGTGGGCTATGCTAGGAAAATGAACTCTTGCTGGGAATAACTCAACTTCAAATTAGTCTTCTCAAAGGGCATACATGCTCAGCCAAATGTTGAACAGCTGTTGTCACTGTGTTAAGAGAGAGAGAGAGAGAGAGAGAGAGAGAGAGAGAGAGAGAGAGAGACTTGTCAACTCATCACCTTCCAAAAGTGCTCTGGGTGTCTTCTGTTACGGGACAGCTTAGCTCTGAGAAAATTTGAAATACACACCGTTCAAAACCATATCCCTCTCTTGCTTTGCATTCAAATTCAACACTTGTACTTAAACAGTGCAGTATATTATTAGTAAAGGAGATCAAAGCACTGTTACCTAGTTAAGGTGATCTTCAGTTTAGAGCCTCAGAAATGTGAAAGTCCTCAAAGCTTTATTGAACAGGACAGTCAAGAATGCTGTCCTGTGTTTCATTTTGTAATCCTTAATGAGACTAAAAATGTATACACAACAAAAGAAACCCATTAACAACTTTTTTCTAATCAAAGCAGCTGTGATAAAGAACTCAAACTCTGCATCTGCACAAGTGTTCCATTCTTACTCATACTCTCGATGAAACAAATCCCTATTTTACTGGTGGGGAGCTGAGAGGAGTTTTCCTTTGTGTTGGGGGGGGGGAGTGTGACGGTTCATCTCCACTGATAGAAACTCTTTCATGAATCACAAGACAGTGATTATATTGCTTTCTTCAAGAAAAAAAACATGTTTTCGTCAAACAGAAAATACTAAGAGAATTGCAGAGGTTTTATGCAGGTTTTATGGTGTTGTTGAGATCAGTTAAGCAGCACACTTCTGCAAAACGAGGATGGACAGGGTTAACATGAGCCTCAAAGACTGTACTTTGTTTCTTCTAATGGAAGTTAGAAATGAGATGAACAGATACAGTTTCCAATGAACATGTTAAATCAAAAGTTGGGACCAATCTCCTTCATGCAATGAGACAAAATGTCATATTAACTGCATTGGCAACAAATTTGTACAAATTGCAATGGTGAATCAGATACAAAAAAGAGTTCTGCTAACTTTCTGTCTAATTAAAAGTTCATTTAACTTATTTGCAGTTGTGGTAGTCAAGCTTGCCTCTTACCCCCAAAAGGGCTAAAAATGGCAGTCAGATGTGAATAACTTCAAATGACTATTTTTTTAAAAAAACCCACAACAAAAAACCTTGTGCTCATTATTATTCCATCATTCAGAACATAAGAATGGAGGTTACAAATATAAGTAGTATGCTCCTTTCCCAGCTTTTATAATTCAAGAAACCAGTCTCCTCATTACCTCTTCAATGGGATATAAATTCCATTTATTGTACACAAAAACCTTCTTAATCCACTCTAATAGGCTGAAAATCCATTGCAATGAATGAGTTATGTGATTATTTGCTTTCTTAATCAAGGGGAAAATGGCACAACATTTCATTATTTGTCAAATGTACTTTGTTTTTAATTATTTACCACAATACTTGACAGGATGAGAGTCAACATGTAGCCCTATGATTTGTAAGGGTTGTGAAAGAATTATAATAATAGGTACTCTGTACTCCACCCTGCTATTAAATCCTCAGCTTTCAAGTGATTTCATGGTGAATGATGAATTATGGGATTCTTATGCATCTGTGTTAAATTAAATGCTGGATTTAAAAGTCTCCTGTACACTTAAATGTGCAGGGTAATTCGTCAGTACAAGTTGATTGTATATGGGATGGTCAAAGACAGAAGCAGCTTGGAGCTCTGTCGTACAGTTCAATTTACTTGCCATAAAAAGGAACAGCTGGGCAATGCTCAAGTTGCGCCATTACATGGGAAATGTAAGAAGTATCCAGTGTTCCTCACTAAGAGAAGGGTTCATCTTTCCATGTGATACTTCTCCATTTGCCAAGAACTCATATGTGGAGTGGAGTGGACCTGGGAGACCTGAAGTTCAGTTACTGGTTCAAGAGGGTATGTTCTAATAAGAAGAACATTACAAGTGACCTGCTGGATCAGACCAAAGTTCCATCTAGCCCAGCATCCTGTTCTCACAGTGGGCAACCAGATAATTATGGAAAGCCTGTGACTAGGACATGAGCTGAACAGCACACTCCCTACTTTTGTTCCCAAGCAACTGATATTCTGAGACATTCTGCCTCTGATACTGATGGTTGTGCACTACCGTGATGTGGTCATTGATAGCCTTATCCTCCATGCAGTTGTCTAACTTTATTTTAAATCCCTTAGAGTGGTCATTAGAGGATTTGGAGAAGGTGACATTCAGCTCCATTTCTCTAACATCTTAATCAGGTGCAGTTATGCAGTGCTTGGACTAGTGCTTGGACATACTGGTGATTTGGATGAGGGCCAATAAGCTGAAGCTGATTCTTGAAAAGATAAAGGCTGGGACTAGGAATTAGGTAGGCTGCCTGTTTTAGATGGGGCTGCATTATGTCTGAACGAGTAGGTGGTACCAGTGGCGTAGCGTGGGGGGTGCAAGGGGGGCTGGCCGCACTGGGTGCAACATCTGGGGGGTGCTCGCACTCGCAGCTCTCTGCCCCTACCGGGTTAGGGGGCGCAAAGTACTTGCCTTGCTCCGGGTGCTGACAACCCACGCTACGCCACTGGGTGGTACACAGTCTGGTGGTGATCCTGGATCCATCTCTTATGCTGGTTGCACGAAGTGGCAAGGAACATCTTTTCCAAGCTGTGGCTGGTGCAGGGATAGCCTGACTACAGTGACCCATGTGTAGATAACCTCAAGATTGTATCACTGTAATGCACTCTATATGGGGCTGCCTTTGGTATGGCAGCTGGGAACCTGGGGTTGTCTTCATTAAATGTTTGTTTAGTTCTTTATTAAAAGGTCTATCCCACCCTTGTCCCTAAAGGAGCCAAGGGCAGCATGTTACAGTTCTTTATATGTGTTATAGGGGCAACAGAGCCTATCATGTGCCAGCCTCCTCTAATGTGGCAGTTGAGCCTTGCAAATTGGTAGAACTAATCATACACAATCTTGATTGGATG